CATTATCTTTACTGGCAACCAACTCAAAGCATTTGTTTAGTTTTTGACTGAAACCAGATTATTTTTGGTCTCTTCCATTCTCCTCCCCCCACCCCAATCCAACATTGCAGACGACTTCTTTCCTTGTTGGTCTAGTTTTATTAACGTGGCTAAAGAATCTTTTGCTATTTAATTTTCTTTGCAAGGTCTAACTCAGCTTGACTTCTGGCAATTCTCATTTTAGCTACACACTTCCTGACCTATAAGATTTATCTCCCTTTGCTGATCAATCCATTTTTTCCACTCTTTATAGGCTCTCAGCTGCCTCCAATATCCCTGTGACCTTTTGATTCATGCAGCGAGGTCCTGAGCCCTTCTCTAAAAATTATTTCTTCTTGTTTGAGAAACAAGGCACAAAAGCTTTTCTTATTTTTCAATTCAAGTCTGTGATGTCTTCAGTCCCATTGACTTCATTAAGTAGTTTCCTCAATTTCTCATAACTTGCCCTTTTAAAAATCAAAAACCTTAGTTATAGGCCTATTTTTGTTTCTCTTTGTTTTAATTCAAATTAAAATTCACACATAATCAACACACACACTTAACTCCTTAATGAGTAGGTACCTGTGCCAGCAATGGAAAGAAGGAGCCACGGACAGTCATGAAGCCATAATCAAAGCTCAGACATACCCTTCCTAATTCAGTGCAGATTGCCAATCCAAGTTTTAGTTACTAATTTTAGGAGGAAACTGTATGACATTTTCCCCTTTTAGCTGTAAACTGCATGATGTTCTTTCCTTTCAACTTCAAACACTGTTCTTCAAATATACCATACAACTGGCCCCGAACAACTTACATTTACACATACTAGAGTCCATTTAGCATACCAAGTCAAAAGAACAGATAAGTGTTGTCCTAATATTAAAATACCCCCTGCTTGCCTAGGGAATGCATGCATTTAGTATTGGGTACATTTAAGAAGTAAAAATATTCTACTTTCTAAAGAAAAAACCAAAAAACTTTACTTAAATAAGTTACCTGTACTTTGACTATCATTCAGTGTTTCTTTTTCCATTTTTACTTTTGCTTCATTAAATGAACTTTAGTTGTCTTTCTAGTCTGGAATACAAAAATGTATTTAAAATGTCACATCGTTCCCTCATGCCCTTACAAATATCACTACTGGAGATTTTCAGTGTAGCTATCTGAAACTTCACATTTACAGTGTGTCAGAATTCTGCAAGAAGGCACTGAAAGCACTGTCATTTATACACTGAAGCCCTAACACTAAAGCGTGATAAAGGAAGACAGCATTAACAAGTGATACCAGCTGGTAAAGTATAGAGAATTATCTACAAATGGATTTGGAAAATCCTGTGGTTTTCTTACAGCCTGTCTACACTAGAAAATTGCAATTATTTTAATTAAACCAGCACGATTAAAGGCACAATCTTCTTAATGCAGGTGCAGTTAGATCAGTATGTAGATGATAGGCCCCGTCTATTCCAGAGGGTTTGCTGGCATAACATTTACCAGCTCCACAAAGAAAAATAGCAGCATCAACAAGAGGTTCTACTGGTATATCTACCTACCTACACTAGGACTTCTACCAAGATATCTGTTTAAAAAACTACACCCTAGTCAACATAGCTATTATGGAACACATTTTAAATATAAGCTATGCTTTATGCTGCATTATTTCATGCAGGAAAGCACTGAATAATTCCTTTGTAGTGGTATAATTGCCTCCAAACCAAGATTTATAGCATAAATATTATTGGGGGGGGGGGGGGGAATTTAC